ACATGAACATATGCCTACAGGTCTGAGTACGCTGACAATGTGATTAACAGTTGAGTGAGTGTGTGAGTATGGTTTTACACCCCTTTTAGCAATATTCCAGCAATATCAGGGCGGGGGACACCAGAAATGGGCTTCACACATTGTACCTATGTCGGGAATCGAACCCGGGTCTTGGCGTGACGAGCGAACGCTTTAACCACTAGGCTACCCGACCACCCCGATTAACAGTTGAAGAACACATTGTTTTATGCCTGTGTCACAGTGATAGGATGCTTTCATGAAACTGGAAAAATGGACGATTATTAAAAACAAGGAAAAGTGCAAGATTGAAGGTGATTGAAAAAGCTACCCAAAACACAAGCCTGTATTCAACCAGTGGTTTTACCATGCATGTGCAATACGTGACAAGTAACTGTGTGGGCATAAATTGGTTCATTTCAGGAGCAACTGAACTGCACTCTAGGAAGCTGAAATACTCTTATCGCTTATCATCTGTGTTACCCTTTAATAATGACCCAGTGATAGAAACTAACACTTTACTCCACTAGTCCTAAATTATACATACAGCAAAACCTTTAAAAATGGCAAATTTCTACTAGTCCATAGAATACCTTAACTTGTGGGCAGTTTGACTCTAGGACGAGTCGTGGCAATTTCTATCACTGTGACAGTGAGTGTGCATGTCATATGGGGGCTACAAGTTGTTTGATTGGCTGGGGGTGAATTGTGTCATCCTGGGGAATGGGCCCTCATCTCCCTGACACGGAAATATTTCATTTGACAAAAACACCTTTTTTTCAACTCTCAAGTGAAAAGATAACATTGCACTTGACATCGTCAAAGGTTGTGTGAGTGCCATGATCCTCATATCCTGGGGCTGAATGCAACATGATTGCACATGTGACAGTGATAGGACATACAGTGGAAGAAGAAACAAGAATCCTTTGACTGATACTCCTTGACACTGAGGAAAATACAACCTAAGTCTGATCCTTGGGATGGATTCTTCAACTGATACTCTATGTCATGTTCAAATTGTCAGCAAAACAAATACTCAAATCTCTGTTACTAACAGTCAAGTTACGCAAGCGGCCAACATCATGGAGATTCCTCATTCAGCAAACACCTGAAATTTGAGGGTTTAACAAAAACCTGCATCAACCAAGACTGAATACAGCCTATGATAAAGATGATGAAAGAAATAAGCCCTACCTTCCATGATGAAAGCATGGATAATGTCACAGCTGTATTGACCACAAGGAAAGCATCAGGATTTGTGGGCTACCACAATACCTAGTCATGCATTCTCGTGTTTCGCCCCATTTTTTCAGAACATTTATTGAATGAAGTTTATTTATTAGTTGTTGACAATCATTTTTAGGTTTTTATAGATCAAATCTGTCATCATATATTACGCACTGGACGGACTATTGCCGGTGATGATAAAACCCTACCTTGTGTAAAGACTGGATGTATATAACAACAACTCCTAACAGCATATGAATGAAAACAGGATTGGTTCAGTTCAGTTACTATATAAAACCATAAACCAACCCACCCCACCCCACCTAACTAACATCAAAGTTTCGAACTGGTTCCTAATACAAAACAAATCACAGCGATGCATTTTCCACTGAGCATAAGTTAACACAAAGATAAACCGACTTCTATCAAAGATCTGCCAAGCCTCATCATGTTTGATCCAAATATATTTGTTAACGCCCGTCCACATTTACCAAGGCACTCATTGTAATGTGCAGTAGTTCCATGCCATTAGGTCCTGTGTATAACATTAGACACTTTGGTGTTGTGACATTACAGCTCTCATGGATCTATACATTTCTCTAAATGACAGCTCTGCTGGGGAGACAATGAATAATTGATCTGAATGTGGACTCAGTTGATCCCACGCCAGATGCTGCGGTCACTTCTCGCCCACACCTGGCCAGAATTCAGCGATGGTGTCAGTCACACTATGACATAGGAAACTACTACGTAGGCACCTGAGCCTGATGCTAATTCTGTCCGTTGTATCGTGGATTACGCCATAACAACAAAACCGGTGATTGACTGTCTGAAAACAAGACGCAAGTCTCCGTCCCTATGACGTGGAAGGTTATCTATTCATTTACTCGCTTTAACCACTGGAGATTGCTAAAAATAGTGCACTTCATCTTACGGTGTCCGCCCCCGCCTGATGGTGAGCTGCCATCAGACGTAGGTGATGCCACAATCAATGAATGCTGCCTTTAGGGAGATGTTCGATTTCTACAGCATTAATGGGTTCCGATCAAAGACTGTAAACTTTCGGTCAATGACAGCAATGACCGAAATAGAATCACCAATCCTATTGGATGGTTAAGATTGCCAAAAATAAAAGCATCCTCTATGAGAGTTTGGGCAAATGACAAACCAGCTGAACTCGTCATAGGCAGGCCATTATCAGATATGGGAGTCTTGGAATATGTCGCAACCCTCGCCATCTGTGGAATCAGCTGTTGGATCACACTGAGGGGCAGAGTTGATGTCCATAGGTAAACTGACACCACACAATCAATCCCAATATTCTCACTGACAATCAATAAAGGTTCATAGAGTCAAAGATTTATTCAGTGGTGTATCCTGTCTAATACTGAACTAGAAAACATTGACTCTTGTAAACAGCAAACAGGTTTGATAAAGAATTAAGACTTGTTTGTCCTATCCAAATACAGCGCATCTCCTTCTCTGTTGACTTGACAACAAATGGACATCACTTAATGATTTCAATAGAGCTTGATTGACATATTGGAAATTAACAACAGCCAACAAGAAGATTTCATGAATACCAAAGCAAGGCAAGCAACTCTGGGAGAACACCTTGCACTAGCCAACAAGCCCACTATCGTCCTCACTGTTGTCTTATATTGCAGATATCGTAAAATATGCTAGTAGAATTCAATCATTTTGAAGGGAGTTGAGGGGAATTAAGATGTCATCACTATTCACTGTCTAGTCCTGCACCATTACTGAGGAATATATGTACTTTATGAAAACAAAAAAGATTATAAAAGGCAAATTAAGCCATGAAACAACTTGTTGGGGGAGAAATGTATTGCGTAATAAGAGACTTCATTAAACATGTACAATAAGAAAACATACAACATTAAAGATTTCATTGACTAGATGTTAGTCTATTCTGGCTCTTCTTACCCTTCGAAACTATTGACAAATGTGTCACGAGGTCAGCAATAAACACAGTCTGGCAGACCCAAATGACATACATGTCATCCCCTAATGATGACTGGTGCCCTTGGTGCCAAACTCCAAAAAGAGAGTGTCTGTGTCCCGAAGAAGCTGCTCACTTGCTTCTTATAAAATTCCATCAATGTAATTGTCAGCTGCCCATTTCAAACCATTGCTCTGATATGTGATAAACAAGAATACCACCATTCACTCAATGGGCAAATACCACAGCTGAAAATAAACCCATCGGCAAACAAACCCCATTGGAAAACCTGCCTAAAATATGCAACATTGAAAGAAAAGCAAGAATTGATCCACTCATTGAATTAGGTTCAATGACTTTCCCCGTTCCTGCCTTGGTCCATTCATTTCCAGGAGTGTGACATAAGCCAGAGACATACACCATCTTCCACTACAGTGGCAACCTGCCAAATTGTGCTGGGAAATTCATTGATTTGACGACTCAGGCCCTTCACAGATGTTGTTTTATGGTAGCAACTGTGTTGAATGAATACACAGCTCACAAAAATAAACATAATGCTTTGTAAAAATATGTCATCATAATTCCCTGTCATTGATGATGGTATTCTGTTAACCCTTGCAGGCCTAACACAATAAGCGATCATTGTCTTGCGCTAATGAGTGAGTGAGTATAGTTTTACGCTGCTTTTGGCCATATTCCAGCAATATCATGGCGAGGGACACCAGAAATGGGCTTCACACATTGTAACCATGTCATGAATCGAACCCAGGACTTCGACGTGACGAGTGAACGCTTTAACCATTAGGCTACCCGACCACCCCTCTTGCGCTAATGAAGCACATTGCTGTCATGACTATTATCTTAGACCTGATTCTTTAAATTTCATCACATTTCTTTGGCAAAAGAGTTAAAGAGAAAAAATCATTAGTTATCTTGAAATACATTGTTTGTTTGTTGTTTAAAGCCAGACTCAGCATTATTCCAGCCATATGATGATTAACAGAGTCTGCTCCAAACAATCCAGTGAGTGACATCATGAGCATCAACCTATGCAATTGGGATACGAAGACATGCATCAACTAAGTTAGGAAGCTGATCCCACTAGTTGCCTCTCACGACAAACATGGGATGCTGACGATCAATTCTAACCCAGATCTTCACAGGGGTAAAAATACTTTGAATACCAGAGAGGGATCATATGTATTATGATGTAGATGGTCGCAATTAAGCATGAAGGTCAAGGAAACCTTGCCATGACTCTCGAATGTTGAAAGTTTAAGATGTAAGGTTCAACACAAATTTGAAAGATTTTGACATGCGCTTCGAGCATGAAGACATAAATATTAGGCTGCAGTTTTCAATAATAGGTTGCACTGGTGCATGTTTTAGACAGCTTAATCATACCTGATCCTTAAAGCAGGTCCTTGACACTTATCACTTTGGTTCAACTCAAAAGTACGAGAATGGCGCTGACAACCTAATTAGAACCATAATCACTGTGAATCTTGGATTCAAACCCACAATCAGTGACTCTAAGCACAATCCCAGGACACCCCTATAATTGGAACACTGACTGAAGTATGTGGAGTATGTTTTTTACCAGAGATAATGACTTGTTTTGCTTGAAGCTAACCTGAACAGTGAGCATTCATAAACTATTGGAAATATCAAATTTCTACTGTTTCTGACTGGTGGTAGAGTGCCTGGTGATCTTCCTAATGTTTGGCTCACAACTAAGGCACTTTTAGTATCATGAATAATCACTGTAAAAATGAGTGGTTTATCTTCTCACCTGTACCCGATGTTCTCCAACAGAAAACCCAAGGATGGCCGTGCCTCTCTCTGGCTGTTCCTGAATCCGAACCACAGTACTGGAGTCAATCTTGAGATCCGAGCTGATATCTGCACTAACCACAAAATCGTCTGTTTGTAAATCCTCGACACGCTTCAATTCACCATTAGCCAGCTGAATGATAGAACCTTTCATAAAGTGGGGAGGATAATGCAGATGTGAGGGGGGATATGAAGTTTGGGGGGAGGGGGACACTCGGGCTGTGTTTGGGGGGCCAGGGCCAAGTCCATGGGACACAGATTCTGACTGGCCCCGAGAATGGGCTGCTGAAGAGTGAGAGGAGGGCATCCCTGAGTAGGAACTAAACTTTGTTCGTTTTAATAAAGGCTCATCATGTTTGCCAGGTAATGCGTATTTGGAGTCATCTATATGTGACCCCTCCAACTGACTGTCCTGGGGCCGGGTAAGTATTCTGTGTTTTAAACTTCCCTCCTTCCCGCTTGGTACTTTATAAAAGTCTTTGTCAAGAAACCCTTTTGGCGATTCTCGTACATTTAAACCTTTAACAGATGAGTGTCCCGTATTTGGGGACAAATTGGACCCCTTTTCATCACGTAAACTGCTGGTGGAGCCCGATCTATGGCAACGACCTTCACCTTCTTGAGACTCTAGTTTTGGTGACACGAGAGATTCTCCACCTGAAAGACTTACTGTCCCTGCTGGGTGAGCAGATTGTTGATGATGAGTGGCATTTGGTCCAGGGGAACTGGCAGACGGCATTGTTCTATGGGATCCCAGGACCGAATACTGAGGTATATGTCCACTGGGCATGTATGGTGACCGAGGTAGTTGTGAATGGCCACCATGTTGAACGTGGCTGCCCATGCTGGCGAGCACAGCAGAGTACGACTCTATATGTGGATAGTGACCACCAGCGATAAGGGCAGCTGACCCGTGGGGGTAGCTCTGCGGGTACTGGTGATAGAAAGCACTAAACTGGGGAACTGAGGCGGTCAAATGCGAGGGTTGACCGTGCACACTATACAAGGGAGAATACTGTCCGAGCGATGAGGCACTGCCACCTCCACTCATGTACTGCCCGCCTGCGAGGAGACGCTGAGACGGTTCAGTGAGAGACGGACGAAACACGCTGCCAACAGACGCTCCTGCAGAAAGCATTGTTTGCTGGGATTCTTGAGTTTGACCTTGACCTTGGTTCTGTGATGACCTGCCACTTATCATGCCCTCAGCAGGCCGCGATTGGGCTTGGTTCTGACTGACAGCAACATCGGCTAACCATACCAGATTTTCGTTGGTTGACGGTGTGCCACCGGTCATTCTAGCCCTTTCGAAGCCATTTGAGTTCATGCGATTGTCTGCATGAGCTTCATTGTTGTGTGGAAGCCCATCCACGACCCCACTGTCAATGTTATTCTCCTTGTCCGCAATGAGTTGTATATGCTGTGGATGGACGTTGTTTCCTAGCGCTTTATGTTGGCCACCAGAGGGATGGTCATTGGAGACTATCAAAGCGTACTGTAGGGGTACTTTGCGGTTTTTGAGCAAGTCGGATTTTTTCCAGGCTGAAGGATCTCTATCTTGTGACAGCCTCTGCGTGTCATCACTTGGTGGTGTGGAGGAGAGAGACTCGGAACACAGCAGGGACTGACCATCAGGGCCTGAAACATACAACACAATCACAGTTACACAACAGCACAGTTGCATACACAATCTAAGATGGTTGTCTGGTACTTTCTTGACCAACCATCATGACCTTGACCTTCAAATCACTTCAACAGAAACAAAGATATTGTTACAGATGAAAATGAACACTCTTGATGGTTTTAATCTGTGTACCACATTTTAACAAGATGTACAAATCAGAACCACTACTACCAGGAACACCTAGGCGAATACAAAATTTCAGGAAAGATAGTAATATGTGGTAATATGAAAGGTTTCCAACGGAGGGTAAATGACATACAGCATGCCAGCAGAGCAACTAGGAGAGACTAGGAGCAAGCTACACGTTGACAGCAACCATCAGGGCCTGAAATGAAGACTACATTGATGGGATGGTTGCCGTTGCCAACAGGCTGGGACACAGTTAGAACTTCTCCTTCAGGCTACACCGAGCTATATACAGCATGTGGAAACACCAAACGCTGCCATTCGGAAATAGAGGACATTATGTGGTCACAATCTGCAATAAAGACAGAGAGTTGGGAATAGACTGGAGGAGTGTCTGGAAAGCTCAAAGTTCAAGGTCCAAAATAACTACAGAAGTACCACAAATGTTCCATTGATAAATCATAATGAGAATGAGATCAGATATATTTATAGAACAACTTTGGAAAAAATATATTTAGATATGCCACTTAACTTGGCAGACGGTATTCCAATGAAAAATATATATATATATACAGTTCAACAACAGCTGGAATTCAGTTAATATCTGAAGGTAATGACATCATACATGTGATACCTCCTGATCTGTCAGGGAGGCTCCCGGATTAGAGTGTGATGACTGGTTAACATTTAGATTTAAAGGGTGCTGTATTCAAATTCTCCCTGACAGATGCAAATATCTCACTGAAAGAAAAGGCTTGATGTCCTTGATACCCTCTTGATATGTGACAATTTATCACATGGATGCGACATCTCATCTTGTTGGTCTAAACAGTGCATATCTGCATTAAACTCCAGGAAAACATTGCTTATCCTACTATAAGGGGTATTGCATGAGCACAATGGCTACTGTGTCAGTATAGTGCATAGTTCATAACGTACATCAGTAACCTGGCAGACTTAGCAAGTTCCTCCACCTCCACAGGGTTCATCTCTGACCAACCAAGGACTTGTCTGTTGATCCAGACCTGTCGAGGACTCCCATGACCATTACCACTGACTTCTGAAAGTCCTAGCCCCACAAACACTCAAGGGAACAGAGCTAGGTGTAATTACACTTCGTGGACCACTACCTTTAGATATTGCTGACTACATGAAACCACAATCGATCACCAAGCTTCGTCAGTGCATCATCCATTCATGCTTCAACCCTGACCGGCCTAAAGTTTATCTTTGTACATACGTAACAATGGGCTGTTCAGTTATTCCTTCTGAAACATGCTCTAAAAAATCAATTCATAAAGTCCAAATGATTTATGTTATCCGACAAAGGCTGCAACTGGAAGTGCATACACATGACTATAACTGTCAGGTTATTGATCGTCTTTGACTAGTACCTATACAGTGCATGTTGAGTATGAAAGGCTGGTTTTGTGCAACATTTTCTCCTCGACCAAGATGTTCATTGTGACTAGCAACAATAAATTGGTTCTAGAAAGTCAATACCTATATGAAGGAACATGCAATCAAATTGGAGCCAAGTTTCATGTTAATGTGGAAATAAAAGTCAGTATGTGCAAGTTTATCACTGAAATGAGTTTATCAAAATTAACAATATTTTGCACATGAAACTTAAAAACTGTTCACAAGCGGTACTAATGTAATGGGTTTTTGACACTGCAGACAAATAAAAGGTACAAATGTGCAAAACATCTACCTTTACGGAAACTTTAATTCAAATTGACTATTGAAGCATCCGCCATGAAACTACACTTATAATTGACTATTGAATCTTCTGCCATGAAACTACACTTATAATTGACTATTGAATCATCTGCCATGAAACTACACTTATAATTGACTATTGAATCATCTGACATGAAAGGTCTATTATAATTGACTATTGAATCATCTGCCATGAAACTACACTTATAATTGACTATTGAATCATCTGCCATGAAACTACACTTATAATTGACTATTGAAGCATCTGCCATGAAACTACACTTATAATTGACTATTGAATCATCTGCCATGAAACTACACTTATAATTGACTATTGAAGCATCTGACATGAAACTACACTTATAATTGACTATTGAAGCATCTGACATGAAAGGTCTATTATAATTGACTATTGAATCATCTGCCATGAAACGTCAATTATAATTGAATATTGACATCTGACACCTACATTTACTTTTTAAGTATTTACTCCAAATTTCCCTTATTATGCAAATTTGACCAAGGAATATTTGAGGATAAACAAGATCTGTAATAGCGAGTGAGTTGAGTTGTTTTCAGTAACATCACACGGAGTCAGGTTAAAATGAAGTCTTACATGTTGACCACTTTGATGACGTCTACCACCATGGGCAAGGTGCTGACCAACCAATCATCATTATTTGGAGTGAGTGAGTATGGTTTTATGCTGCTATTAGCAATATTCCATCAATGTCATGGCGGGGGACACCAGAAAAGGGGCTTCACACATTGTACCCATGTGGGGAATCGAACCCGGGTCTTCGGCATGATGAGCCAATGCTTTAACCACTGGGCTACCCCACTGCCCCCATTATTTGAAAGAAAGTGACATTGGAACAGATGACCACTGGATCCTGGTATGCCAAAGGTACACAATTGTGGAATAGTACTTGAGAGACTTACAGAAAATGAACAATTAAAACACTCAAGAATCACAAATATTATATGTGTGACATGTTGGCGTGGAAACACATATCACAAAATATTTTTCTTTTCCTTTTTTCATGAATGCAGGATTGGCGGATCTGTCAGTCAATAATTACACATAACAGCCTACTACTCATTGCAAGTAAGAACCAGTTGTGTGTAAGCATTATATATGTACATGTAAAGTAACAGACTCTGGACCTAACCATGAAACTAGTGGTCAACATGGTGAGCAACAATCCATGGCAACATTAATCATACACATTCAACATTGATTCCCATTTCAGCAGCCCTTTAGGACTAATTAAATATAAGGAAATTAAAAGCTAAACTCCACAGTACTGGGCCATAACACTGTGCTATACCACACAGATAATTCCTGTCACTGAAAGACAATGCTCATCTCCAGAATCTGCCAAAAATGTGTCTTTTTGTAGGACCTCTGTTGATTCAAGTGTTAATACATGGCCCATCATTACTTGTTTTTACTTGACATTTGCTTAGAATGACACTTCGAACAGTATTCCAGTTATATCACAGCATGTCTGCTTGATATGGGAGTGATGCAGATCTTGGGCATTTACCACTTTTTTAAATATTAGTTCAAGTTGTTACTGTATAAGTGTTTGCAAATCTGAAAAACAATAATAGCAAATTATAGCCTGGAAAGATATTGGTTTCATGCAGAAATAACTGTAGAGTTTTGGCGGAAAACAAATGCTACTAGTTTAAGACTTAGTCCAAATTGTTTCCATGGAAACACAACAAATTAAAAAAATTAATAATATGAAGAGGCAATAGTTAAGCATATGGTCAATGTATAGTTTCAAGCAAAAATATTCATTAGTTTGAGAGTTATGGCTCGGAAACAAAACCTAGAGTTGCTTGTATGGAAATGTAAAAAAAAGATTTTTGGACAAATTTCAAAATAGCACAAGGTACAAATGAAGCTGCTGACCAGTGCATATGGCAACGGGAACCAAGCCAAAAACAATATGTCTCCCCTCCCTTTGGGGGGGGAAGACATAATCAGGGCAAAACAGGATTCATTACCTTGATCACTGGTTGCTGCACACCAAAGGGATGCAACTCTGCATAGCAAATTCTGTCACCTAGCTCTCCCACACTCAACCCTCAACATCGACTAACATCCATACCTCCTAGGCATCCCATTTCTCGAAAACATCCAAAGAATCTCATTTCTATCGAAGACCAATCTCATTAAAATCAGATCTGAGGTCATCCCATTATGGGTCTCATCAGACCAACATTTCACAAACTTTCACCGACCAATGGAATGACTGAAAAGAAGTTGACATTAACCAATCAGAAGGCAGATTGTATGGATTCAGTTGTAACTGTCGTTTGGAATACCCTGCGTTAAATTCTTCGAGGTGATATGAGGGGAAAAGACATTCCAACTGTCACCTTCCTGATCTTGGAAGTGACACTCTGATTGGTCGAATGAAAGGTCGTTTTGATGTGACCTGTAATGGGATGTCCTCAGATCTTTGTTTAGCAGTAGTGAGAACCAGGATCTGATTTTAATGAGACTGATTAAAGACTGTAAAGATTTTACCCACTTTCAAACATACCAGCAAGAATGCAATCCTACTTACTTCAACAAGACTTGTCTCTTGACCCACAGATCTACGGATGTGACACTAGATACCCACATTGACCATACACGATATATATACACACATACAGGACATCAAAACTGTTTGTGCTCCCACCATAACTACTACACAAATTAACAGGAAGTTGGTCATGTCAATCCCATTACCAGCGGCTCTGTTAGAAACAAAAGCATCGTGGGTGTTGCTGTAGAGTGAAATACACTGGTCCATTGATTTGCCATCCCGATCTACAACAAATCTCATTCCATATCTGTAATTACCCACAACTTACGGCTATTAATACCACTTCTGTCAACTCTATGATAATTCTGACCGATGACATCAAATGTCATTACATATTTTATGTTCGTACATGGAAAGGCCTATTTTCTTAGTGTGGTCAGCTAATTTAATAAATGTCAGAGAATAAGGCGACAGTCATACTTTGAGAACCTACTCCAAGCCACGTAGTCAGGTGGGAGGCTGAGCCTCTTCAGCGCACATGTACGGCGACAGATTCT